TCCTCAGTGTCCAGCCTAGTGCCTAACGCAAGTAGGTGTTCCAAAATACTTGAGTGGGATAAAAAGTGCCAAGTATCTGAGTTATAGCCCATTTCAAGTTCAAGCTTAAGGCTCCTCTCTTCTGTAAAAATTTAGTTAGTTATTTCTTCCATCATGAAAGTAAATACCAATTGTTTGTTATTCGACATCTCTCTCTCTGTCTCTCTCTCACACACACACACATTTTAGTCATCAATTATTATTTTGTACTCTTTTATTACTCCATCAAAGCTGTAAGAAGCTGTCTTTTTATGTATTTCATATTGCCTTGCAGAGTAGGCATTCAAATGCTTGTTACTATTGAGCCATCTTAAAATAAAAATACATCTTAAAGTGAGAAAATCCACATTCAGTTGTCCTTCAAGCCCTATTCTAAATTGCCAAAATTAATTCTAAGAGATGCCGGTATTTAAACAGCTCCTCCAGTTATGACCCATACATCTTAAGGAAAACATATGTTTTGATACAAGCAGTGTTTTATAATTTTGAAATGTTTAGTTTTACATCTACCCAACTCAAGCCCTTTACAGATATATGTAATAATCTATAAATTTTGCATTATTTTCCTGGTAGTATCATACATAAACCAATAATTCAATTTTAAAGCTAGTTGTAGAGGTATTGCCCCAAAGTGCATTCATAGCATGTAAACTCTTAACTCCTTTAATTAGCATTGTATTAGTGACATCAACATAGCTGTTGCAATGTTGTGATGAATCACTATTTTAGCCCTCTTTTAAAATGCACCTTAGCGTATTACGCAAATCGGCTCTAACTCTCCTATAGATGGCAGCATCGAGCAACAGATTTTGGTAACAGCTTGTTCTTCTGTTCCGTGAATTTTCAGTGAGGAGTAAATTTTTCATACAGTGTATTTCATTACAATACACCAAAAGACTAATTTAGCTTAGGTGACAGAATAATATTCATACCTGCTCAGCATTACTTCAGTGAGTTCCCATAAACGCGTCTTTTTCTATTCTATATATTACATGAACCAAATGTAAATGCATTTCCAGTTAGCCCATTAATTTAAAAAAATGTAGAGAACAATTGAATTTACTGTAGTATAATTATAACAAATGTTAACCACCTTTAAACTGGTAGTAAAACATCAGCAAGTAGAAAAATGGCACTAATATCCTATGATCAGTGACTATCTTCCATAGGAAACCCATGGGTCTGAACATAATTTGTCACAGCAGTGCGGTTTATTTCATAATTTTATCGAATATTTAGCAACTGAAATTGTGTTTTTTAAAGCAGAAATGCCTTAACACTGAGAGATATATTTTTAAAACGGTTTATTATCATAATTAGCTTTTTATGATCAAAATCCTTCCTATGAAGATAATTGCAAAATACATGCAAATCAATTTTCCAACCCTCCCCTCCTTCTAGAAAAGAGTATTTTTCCCCCATAGAGGTACAGTACCTTTATTTAGCTTTTTTTTGGTGGGGAAGGGGGGAGGTTGGAGGGATGAAGGTAGGGACCGGGCCATTTGAAAAGTAAATGTGTATGGATTTGATTTGTTGTCTCACAAAACGTTAAATACTCCACTACCCCCATCGCAGCGCTAAACATCAAACCTGTAAAAAGCCCTTTGGCCTTATCTGGATTACATTTTTACTAGTAAACAACCCTTTTATCATCTCTCTTTTTTCTTGTCTAGGGTAAAACCAGGCACACAGTTACACTTTTCCACCAACTTCAGGCGTCTCTATTCTTCACCTCCCTGCCCCACCCTCCATAAGGCACTCTATACCCCCAGAATTTCGGTCACTGTGAGTGCTGCCTCGCTTCCATTTCCAAATATCTGCTATTAATAGCCTTGCTATAGTGGGCACGTGTGCCCACATCACCAAGCTGTCAGAGGAAAAGGAGGGAGGGCTTTCAATTCAACATGTGTACTCAAATTATAGATTAACCAGGTTTAGATGAGGCTGCAGAACGACCGGGAACAGGAAGGAGAGAGGAGAAACGGGAGGCTCCCCGGCTTGGGTAGGGAGGAGCCCCTCTGCAGATGCCCAATCCCCCTAATTTACGTATCGCACGCCTCTGAATGGCGCTTATGGTTCTTTTTCTCCTTCATCATCATCATCTTCTTCTTTTTCTTTTTCTTTTTTTACTACGCTTTGCAACCTACCTTGGTACCCTCAACTCTTCTCCCCCACCTTCCCTCTGCAGTGCAAGGCTTGAAAAACAGGCCATCCCACCAATCAGCAGGCCGCCCAGGGAAACTCGCCCCGCCCCTCAGCCCGCATTGGACCGAGGCGCGCTGCCCCGCGGCCCGGAGGGTCCGGGCCACTGAGCATGCCCAGCGCCTGGACTGCAGAGTGCCCCGCCAGCATCCTGCAGTGCCTGGGAGCCCCAGGCCGAGGAGGGTCTCGTAGTAGTAAATGGGCGGCAACCCCAAACGGGCCAGGCATCAAAATGAGACAGCATTAAACCGAGTGACATCTGTGTGGGTCCTTAGTGCCAGGCGAGCAAGCAGGGACAAACTGCTTGTTTATAGGTCAGCTTAAAAAATAAAAAAACTTTGGGGAACATTTGCTTGTGGGGAGACTGATACCGCAAGGTGACCCTGAAAGGGGCGCTTCAAGGAGACCCAGGCTGCTGATCTGGTCCATTCATGAAGTACCCATTTTCCTGTACAGTTGAGCTGGCACCATCCTTGTTTTCTCCCTATTATCCTTGTGGTCAAGGTTAAAAATTTATAGGGTGGTTCAATGGGTGTGGGAGCTGTGTGTGAAAAAAACATTTCAGCCAATATTTGCACAGTAGGGTTTTGGCCTTATGAATCCTCTGAAGGTCCCTAACAGCTTTTTAAAGTCACGGATAGACTTCGGAATATGATAAGGGACCTCTCATTTCCCCTCCCCCATGCCCTCAGCCTTATGTGTGAATCCCCCCTCACTCGGATGGGCAAGGGGAGCAGGAGAAACGGTGATATTTACATTTTCTCCCTAATTGATCAGCTAATCCCACAGCGCCGGATGTGAGACACTTCCTGGGGATCCCTGTTCTCCTTTTGCAGTGACCATAACTGCTCCGAGTCACTGCCCTTCGGCGTCCCTCTGTGCCTTCCAGGTACCTCACGGCAGCAAATCTGGGGATCCCAAGGTGGAGGGCTGGCCCAGAAGTCCTTTAGAAAACCTTACAAAAATACAGATCCCCTCACCATGGCCTATCGCCCTGAAGCCGACATGTAGCTTTTAAATTTCCTGGGAGAAAAAGCCTTGACTAGAAACCTCCCTCCCGTGGGTAAGTCTTACCTGCTAGGTAAGAGGCAGCCCAGCTCCCGCGCCCCCGCCTTCCCCCGGTCTCCCACTCGGGGCTCTGTAGCCGCAGTGCCCCCCCCC